GGTGTTTGCGTAACCCGCTGTGAGCTATTAGCCCGTCAGTGGAAACGCGACATGATTTCGGCCTCATTTCTCAACCTCCCGGGCTATTGGCCCGGCCCGGCCCGGCCCGATTAAAGCCCTGGCTCGCACTGGCCCGATAGTGGAAAGGCGGCTAATGAGCTGATGTAAAGTTCTGGTGGAGCGCTTTTTCTCTTTGATCAGTTCATCATTAGCTTGTTTGCCTCTTTTTAGTGTCTCTGAACATAAGTAGCCTTTCCAGTCCTCAGTAATTCCTGGGCATGCAGTGCCTGCCTCACTGCTTTCACAACTGTCCACAGCCAACAGTTTGTCCATTGTGTTTTTCAAACACCTTTTCCATTTGCCAGTGCACTCAGAGATGTCTGGTAGGTAAAAGTCTACAGTCCCCCAAAGTCCATCCCTATGTCCTTTTAAGTAATATATGGAATTTAGCTCATGACCTAAAAAAGTCTTTCCTTCTTTCCCATTTTTTTTCCATCAAATGGAGACTCCTCTCATCTATTTTCTTCCTCTTACGGTTTTAACAGTTTATTTTTCTTTAATTCATAATCATTTTATTATATGTAGATATGTTTAATTTTCAATTTCTTTAGTGTTATTCTAATAAATTTCTTTAGCTCCAGATTGTGTTTCACTTTACATTTCTCCTCATCTATACTAGTGTTCCTTTTCTAACCACTCATTTTTACCTCGTATTTTAATTTCTTAATATTTTCCATTTCTATTTTCTCACTGTTTACATCAAATGTTCCTTCTGGTTGCCATTTATCATTATCTTATCTTTTATTTTCTTTGCCAGGTATTTTAGTATTGCATTTCTTATTTCCATATATGTTTTTCCATACCTGATTTAATTCAACAATACTACTTGGTGGCCCAATATCTGGTATAACTGTTCAGAATCATTACTGCTATAGCTCAAAGTTAATATTATTAATTAAATTCACATATTTATTTACTAAAAGCATTTTTCATTTTTGAAATGCAACGTTTAATTATCAGTTAGCTTCTTACTGCATAAACTTTTAAATGTATTTGTCTTTTAAACTCACTCTAACACAATCTTTAACAATTACCTACACTGTAAAAAAAATCCCCGTAAAAAAATGGTTATTTTCTGGCAGCAGGGGCGCCAGAGAAAAACCGTAAAAATACAGAAAAAAACTGTTAGAATAAAAGATGTAGATAAACTGTTAAAAAACAGTAGTTTTCTGTTTTACAGTTACAGGTTATTACTGTAATTATACTTGTTATAACTGTAATTATACAAGTTATTTATGTAATTATACAAGTTATTATGGTAGTTATACAGGTTATTACTGTAATTATACATGTTATTACTTTAATTATACAAGTTATTTATGTAATTATACACATTATTATGGTAGTTATACAGGTTATTACTGTAATTATACATGTTATTACTTTAATTATACAAGTTATATATGTAATTACACAAGGTATTATGGTAGTTATACAGATTATTACCATACTTATACATGTTATCACTTATGGCAAAATACACTCGGCCCAGTTCCGGCGAGATTGTCGCCTGCCGGAGACTTAGCACTCGGCCCGACTCCGGCTGCCATACTCGGGCCTGTGGACTCACTGCCTGATTCCGGCCCGAATCAATCGGGCCAGATGCGGCGGCCATAAGCCAGCTGAAGCTGCCGCATCCGCGCCGGAATCGACCCGAGTGAAATGTACGCTGCGGCCTGGAGCTGGCGCGACTCAGTATTTATATACCTTATAAAACCTTTTGGTATTACATTGATACTTGATATAACAACCATTTGAATTTATATAACAGCAAACGCAGGCTATAATGTAAACAGAAAGTATAGGCACTGTGTTTAACCTTTGAATAAAATGCAAACTGCATACATATCCTATAACGAAAAGAATCAGACAAAGGACAAAATAAATACATGATAAATGTTTATTGAAATTGCAAGAAAAACAAATTGTACTAAAATTGAATAAATAATTTTGTAGTGCACAAGAATATCAATATAAAAACAACAATAAAAACATAAAGACACAGGAAGACTTAAAGAAAAAAATCTGAAATTGCACACATACACAAGTTTTTAAAACAACTGTTACCACGACTGGGGTGGAGTGACAGGAGACCACAGGAGGTAAGATCCAATATGCAGTTTATTCAGTAGTCAGGCAAGCAATGGTCATCAGGTGCAAACAGGTATATACAGGCAGTCCAGAATCGTAGTCGATATAAACAGGCAGAAGGTCAAAAGGCAGGCGGCTAAACAGGATAACTGGGATACAAGGCTAAGATCGAAACACGGAGAAACAAGACAGGGAAACGCGTTGTAATGTTACTAGGAGAACAAGACTCGGCAAACTGGTGGCGTGAGAGAGTGGCTTATGAATGGGATGTAATCAGTCTGTGAACAAGGATCAGCTGGTGCTTGCAATCAGGATACATGTGTGAGCAGGCGTGCGTGTTTGGGAGCAGTGCATGTATGAATGTGTAGTCCTGGGGAATGCGGAAATGAAGTCCTGAGTTCGTGTGAGAACCAGCGATCCTCTGGGGAGCGATCGCTGGTTGTGACATAGCCCCCCCTCTAGGAGTGGATTCCAGACACTCCACTACTGTTCAGGCGGGAGGCGTAGCGGAGGCGGAACAGGGGGAGGGTTGGAGGGCCAGGACCATGCAGCTGGGGCGTACCTGGGGCGTGGAGCTGCGGAGGGCCTGGAGACTGGAGCTGCGGAAGACCCGGAGAGTGGAGCTGCAGTGGTCCTGGATCGTGTGGCAGCGAAGGACTTGGAATGCTGCGAGGAGCCGGCAGAGTTGGAGGCTTGTAGGGAGCCGACAAGGCGAGGAGCCGGGTTGGGATCGGCAAGGCGAGGAGTCTGGATGATGCCGGCTGAGTGAGCTGTCTGGATGGCGCCGACAGGGCGAGGAGCTGTGGCCGTTCGGGTAGCTCGGGCAGCGACGGACACTCGGGAAGCTCAGGCGGCGACAGCGGCCACTCGGGAAGCTCAGGCGGCGGCCACTCGGGAAGCTCAGGCGGCGGCGGCGGCAACCACTCGGGAAGCTCAGGTGGCGGTGGCGACCACTCGGGAAGCTCAGGCGGCGGCGGCGACCACTCGGGAAGCTCAGGCGGCGGCGGCGACCACTCGGGAAGCTCAGGCGGCGGCGGCGACCACTCGGGAAACTCAGGCGGCGGCGGCGGCTCTGGCTGAGGCGCTGGCGGCGGCGGCGGCTCTGGCTGAGGCGCTGGCGGCGGTGTCGGCTCTGGCTGAGGCGCTGGCGGCGGCGTCGGCTCTGGCTGAGGCGCTGGTTGCGACGTCGGCTTTGGTTGAGGCGCTGTTTGCGGCGTCGGCTCTGGCTGAGGCGTTGGCTGCGGCGTTGGCTCTGGCAGCTCTGGCGGTGGCAGCTCTGGCGTTGGCAGCTCTGGCGTTGGCAGCTCTAGAGGATCTGGCAGCACTGGACGGTCTGGCAGCACTGGACGGTCTGGCAGCACTGGACGGTCTGGCAGCACTGGACGGTCTGGCAGCACTGGAGGATCTGGCAGCACTGGAGGGAATGGCAGCTCTGGAGATGGCCTTTCAGGAGCAGGAACAGACTTAGAACTGGAAGCCATCTTGTGAGCTGGCTGACTGGGAGCAGCCATCTTGTGAGCTGGCTGTGGACAATGGGTCGCAAGCCCCGTAGCCAGCGGGTCTTGCTCTCTACAGCCCCCCCCCAAAAGATTATTTGGATTTTCGTCCACCTCTCCTATGGTGAAGGAAGATCCACTCATCTGCAGGGCTAGATCAATATAGTTCACCAAAGACCACTGGGGTCCGTACAAGGGTATGTTGGAGTATAGGGGCTCGGACAGTCCGCCATGAAAGAAAATCATGAGGCATACCTCGCTCAGGGTGGTACGGTGGGCCAGATTAACAAAGTCCTCCACGTACTCCTCTATTGACCGGGCTTCCTGACGGAGACGCATGATTTGAACACCCGCTGGATCCATGTTCTGGCCGAGTCTTCTGTTACCACGACTGGGGTGGAGTGACAGGAGACCACAGGAGGTAAGATCCAATATGCAGTTTATTCAGTAGTCAGGCAAGCAATGGTCATCAGGTGCAAACAGGTATATACAGGCAGTCCAGAATCGTAGTCGATATAAACAGGCAGAAGGTCAAAAGGCAGGCGGCTAAACAGGATAACTGGGATACAAGGCTAAGATCGAAACACGGAGAAACAAGACAGGGAAACGCGTTGTAATGTTACTAGGAGAACAAGACTCGGCAAACTGGTGGCGTGAGAGAGTGGCTTATGAATGGGATGTAATCAGTCTGTGAACAAGGATCAGCTGGTGCTTGCAATCAGGATACATGAGTGAGCAGGCGTGCGTGTTTGGGAGCAGTGCATGTATGAATGTGTAGTCCTGGGGAATGCGGAAATGAAGTCCTGAGTTCGTGTGAGAACCAGCGATCCTCTGGGGAGCGATCGCTGGTTGTGACAACAACCCTGTTTTCCCAATAGACATGAATTTAAAAAGTTGTACAAGACACATCTTGAAACAGCAAAATGTTATATAAACCTGAATATAGAAATCAATTTAAGATATAGCAAGAAACATCTTACAAATACCTATGACAATCCGTAAAATATACAAGTCAAAATTGTAAAAAGAACTGGCAAATTCTAAAGAAACATCTGTAAACATTTTCAATAAAACATTAAAATAATAATAAACAATATATATTTAAAATTGCAGAAGTATAAAGACACACTTATTTTTAAATAAACTTGAACAGAATAAATTGCACAAACAGCATGAGTGAGATGATTATACATTTCATACACACACACACACACATTTCATATATATATATATATATATATATATATATATATATATATATATATATATGCAAATAAAAAAAGAAACAAATTGCTCAAGTATCAGGGAACATCTTAATACACTTAAAATGTTGTTTAAAAATAAAACAGAATAGAATAGTGATGTAGACAGTTGACACATTAGCTTTCTCTTCTTCCCTCCTTCATCCCTGTCAGGAGCAAGTTGTAGCCACCATATAATGCATTTTTCAATCTCTTTATCAGTGGCGTGGTATAGACATTTGTCCTCACTGCATCTGTGATTAAAAGATAAACAGATAATTAGTAATGAACAAGTGCTAATGTTAAAAAAATAAAAGAAAGATGCTTGCTCTCATATAAGTAAAACCTAAATGCGACTATATATATATTTTTTTGTTCCTCTGGTCAATAATTCAAAGAAATGCACAGATGAAACAGCCCCTAATTGTATTAAAATGTATATTCAAAACCGACTTACTGACTCCGACAGTATTAAGGAGGAGTGCATGAAAGGCCACTTTTTAATTTGGCCCGCTCCAGTTAATTTGTTTAGCCAAGGAGTTAACCAAAAGCTTTTCCAGGATACGGCCAACTGCTTAGTGCAAAACACCAATGATTCCAAACTAGCCTACCTACAAAGCAAAAAACAAACAAACAAACAAACAAACAAATAAATAAAACAAATAAACTTAAAACACTTTGAAATTAGCAAGAGCTTGAACTTACCAGTTTCTTCATTTGTTCGGGCTGCTCCTTTAGTTGATTTAGGCTTTTCCAAGTAAAATTGGACAAAGGAAGGTCAAATGTGTTTACATCTGTGTAGTATAGTTCGTTGTTGTGTGGGAAGAAGAAGACAGGGTCGGCGATATCAGGTAAGCAATATTTTTTTATTTTGCTTTTTCACAGCACTAGCAAACTGTGTCCGTCTGTGAGTGTGTGTGTGTGCTCTCTCCTCTCCCGACTGCTCCTCCCGTTCTCCTTAAGAAGGGAGTCTCTCCGGCCCAATCACTAGAAAGACAGGTGTTATTTATCATTTCTGATTGACCCGGTGATTAGCCGCCGGGCTCCTAGCATGCTCTCCCCCCTGATTGGGTGTTCGATCACGCTTACCTCTCCACATACCCCCTTCGCCCGCCTCAGGCCGGGGAGCCGTCCGGCCTGCAGCCCTCCCCCCCCCGCCCTCGAGAGGAAGTCGGCTACAGCCATTTGTACACCCGGCCTGTGGATCACCTTGAACTTAAAAGGCTGTAAAGCTAGATACCAACGGGTGATCCGCGCATTGGTATCCTTCATGCGGTGAAGCCACTGGAGAGGAGCGTGATCTGAACAGAGGGCGAATTCCCTACCCAGGAGGTAATAGCGGAGAGTGAGAACGGCCCACCTAATCGCCAGGCACTCCTTCTCTATGGTGCTGTACTTAGCCTCACTCTTGCTGAGTTTGCGGCTAATGTACAGCACCGGCCGTTCCACTCCCGCCACCTCCTGCGAGAGAACCGCCCCCAGTCCCCGATCGGATGCGTCCGTCTGTAAAACAAAGGGGAGAGCAAAGTCAGGAGCGTGCAATAGCGGCCCCCCACAAAGTATAGATTTTACCTTTGAGAAGGCCTGTTGGCACTGCTCCGACCATTGGACGGTATCCGGTCCCTCCTTTTTAGTGGGATCAGTCAATGAGCTGACAAGGGCCGAATAATTAGGGACAAAACGCCTATAATAACCTGCCAGCCCCAAAAACTGTCTCACCTCCTTTTTGGTCTTAGGTCTCGGACAGGTTGCAATAGCTGCAGTCTTATTAATTTGGGGCTGCACCTGCCCGTGACCTAAGTGGAAGCCCAGATACCTTACCTCCACTCGCCCAATTGCGCACTTCTGTGGGTTGGCCGTGAGCCCGGCCCGTCTCAGCGCCGACAATACCGCCCTCAAATGTTGCATATGCCGCTGCCAGTCATTACTGTAAATGATGATATCATCTAGATAAGCAGCGGCATATGCTGTGTGAGGACCGAGTATTTTGTCCATTAGGCGCTGAAACGTCGCCGGTGCCCCGAACAGCCCGAACGGAAGCGTCACAAATTGGTGCAATCCAAACGGCGTAGTGAAGGCTGTTTTTTCGCGGGATATTGGAGATAATGGGATCTGCCAATAGCCCTTCGTTAAATCCAATGTCGAGTAATATCGAGCAGCACCTAACCGGTCGAGCAACTCGTCAATACGCGGCATTGGATAAGCGTCGAATTTCGACACAGCATTCACCTTGCGATAATCCACACAGAACCGGACCGAGCCGTCCATCTTAGGTACCAAGACAATCGGGCTGGCCCAGTCGCTGTGGTATTCTTCCACTACTCCCATTTTCAACATATTATTAAATTCTTCCTGAATCACTTTTTTCTTGTGTTCAGGTAGGCGATACGGCCGGGTCCTAACGACCACGCCCGGTTCGGTCTCGATATGGTGCTGAATCAGGTTAGTACGACCGGGCAGGGGCGAAAACACGTCAGAGTATTCACGTTGGAGGTGCCGGATGTCGAGGAGCTGGCTCGCTGAGAGATGATCGCCCCCGGTGACCAGAGTGCTCGGCCGTTCACGGCCGGAGCTCTCCGGCCCCAGGTCATCCTCTTTAGTAACAAGCGTAGCCAGCGCCACGTCCTCCGGCTCCCTCCACTGCTTAAGCAGATTAATGTGATAAATCTGACGCGAGTCAGCCCTGTCTGAACGAACCACCTCGTAATCGAGATCACTGACTCGTCGTGTGACCACAAACGGCCCTTGCCACTTGGCGAGTAATTTAGAGCTGGAAGTGGGTAGCAGTACAATTACTTTACCTCCCTGTAAAAATTTGCCTTTGAAAATTTGAAAATTTGAAAAATGCCCTTATCATATCGCCGGCGTTGGTCATCCTGAGCCTTAAGCAAATTCTCTGTAGAGAGCCGCCCCAGTGTGTGGAGTTTTGCTCTAAGGTCCAGGATATATTGAATTTCATTTTTACTTTTAGAAGGCTCGTCCTCCCAAGCCTCTCTAACAACATCCAAAACCCCTCTGGGCTGTCTGCCGTAGAGAAGCTCGAAGGGGGAAAACCCCGTGGAGGCTTGGGGAACCTCCCGCACAGCAAATAATAAGGGCTCCAACCACTTATCCCAATTTTTCGCGTCCTCGTGAACGAATTTACGGATCATTGATTTAAGCGTGCGATTAAATCTTTCCACCAGCCCGTCTGTTTGTGGGTGATAGATGCTCGTGCGAATAGATTTAATGCCCAATAATCCGTAAAGCTCGCGCATCGTGCGTGACATGAACGCGGTGCCTTGATCAGTGAGAATCTCCTTGGGGATTCCCACATGGGAGATGAGGCGAAACAGCGCCTCCGCAACGCTCTTTGCTGAGATGTTACGGAGCGCGACTGCTTCCGGGTAGCGGGTTGCATAATCCACCAGAACTAATGCAAACCGATGCCCGCGTGCAGATCGCTCTAATGGCCTGATGAGATCCATACCAATTCTCTCGAAGGGGATCTCCATAATTGGTAAAGGGCGCAACGGCGCTTTTGGGGTGGCCGGTGGATTTACCAGCTGACATTCACTGCACGCCGCGCACCATCAACTGACGTCACCGTGAATGCCCGGCCAAAAGAATCGGGTCATGAGGCGATTTAGTGTGGCCGCCTGACCTAAATGTCCGGCCATAGGATTAGAATGAGCCGCCTGGAAAAGCATTTCCCGGCGGCTCTTTGGTACTAATAGCTGGGTTGTATCTTCTTTTGTCTGAGCGTCTTGGGTCACTCGATACACCCAATCATTAATAACCGCAAAATACGGATAGGAGAGGGGTCGATCAGGCTGGAGGATTTTCCCATCAATAACCTGCACTCTTTCGAGTGCATGTTTTAGTGTATCGTCACGCGACTGCTCGAGGGGAAAGTCTTTACACCGGGAAATTCCCAGCCCTTCCCCTGAGTCAGCGCGTGACGTCACTGCTTGGGATTCCCCCAGCTGAGCGACTCGCCCCCTATCCAGCAATTTCTTCTTCCAAGAAACACCCGCACATAAAACTCCCAATAATCTATTAAATCCAGGCCAATTAGTTCCCAGAATTAGCGGGTGTTTGAGGTGCGGGTTAACCGCTACCTCTACTCTATGCTTTTTCCCCCGGAATTGAATATCTATTGCCGTTAGCGGGTAGTGAATTATATCCCCGTGCACAAACCTTACCCTTACCATGCGGCTCGTATCCAATGCCGGGTCTTGAAGCAGGCTTTGATGGATGGAGGTTTGGTTACACCCCGAATCCACCAAAGCTTGATATGTAGCCCCTTTTATACTCACAGGTATCCGGTATAACCCGTCGCGACCGAGGGCGACGATTGGCGTGGCGGGAACGCGAATCAGCGCATTCACCTCCTTCATGGAGCAAACTTTTTGTGCGCTATCCTCGTGCCCGCGGTGCCAATACCTCGGCCCAGACATTCTCACTATACCCCCGGGGCAAGCAGGATCAACCGATTGAACTGGAGAGAGACCTGTCATTGTCTGGGGAACCGCCAGGGGTCGTGGCTCCACCCCTCCATCCAGATAGGGCCCCGCCCCCCTTGGGACGTTCAGCGGATCCGCTTCTGTGCACCGCCGCCTGGGTGCTGGTGTGGGCGGTCCCCGCCGCCTGGGCCTGGGAACAGGAGGAGAGAGAGAGAGAGGGGGAAGAGAGAGAGAGAGAGAAGAGGTTCTTTCGCCGACCCTGGACCTCGCCACCAGGTGATCCTCCGCCAGTCGGATAGCCGTCTCCAGATCATCAGGCCGGTGGCACTGGACCCACTCCGATGTTCGGGAGGGGAGGCGGGTGATGAATTGCTCCAGCACCACGGCATCCACCAGTTGGGCGGTGGTTCGGCCATCCTGTACCAGCCATTCAGCCAAAACCAGCGATCGGAAGAGCTGACGTTGCTCCTCCGGGTTGCGGCCGGCCCGCTGGAGAATAGCTCGCTTCAGATGAGCGTATTCCAGGAGATTCTGGGCCGGTAGCTGCTGTGCGGCGATCTGGGCTTCGCCCGAGAGCAGCGGGATGACTCGTACCGGCCACTCAGCCCGCGGCCAGCCACACGCCTCAGCCATCTTTTCAAAAAGATCCAGGAACACTTCCGGATCATCCTCCGGCACCATTTTCTGTAAGGCAATGGGAGGGTGGGCGGCAGATGTCGGAGCGGGCCGGATCCCCTGGGACAGCAGACTCCGGGTTTCGGCACCACTGTAGTATAGTTCGTTGTTGTGTGGGAAGAAGAAGACAGGGTCGGCGATATCAGGTATTTTCTCTAGATGATATATATAATCCATTTATAAATAGCATTGTTTTGTTTGTGTCTAAACATTTAGACCATCCACACTAAATATTCTTATTATTTTGTTGCTGTCCTACCATGAACATTATCTCAAATTATCATTAAACATGGAGCTAACAGATTACTAGATAAAATAAGAATTTAATCGGTTGCCATCAAGCTTCTTGCCAGAAGCGGCCCGGACTCTACAGACAGACTCGGGCCGGATATGGTTGACTGGAATCGGGCCAGTGCTGTACAGCCGCATCACAACCACATGTGCGCGAGCGAGCTGTGGGCCGCACTCCGCCCGGATAACACTTGCCGATGCCGAGTCGGAGCCACCGAAGGGCAGCCGAGCTCGGCCCGATTACACTCTGCTATCATATGTTTAGTTAACTTTTTGTTGACTTCACATTGCAACTGTAAAGATTGATTAGAAAAAATGTTTACA